CCCGGGATTGTCTTCATCCATTCGTGAAATGACGCACCAGACTCTCGGTCCAATGATGTACTGGCCTAATGTCTTTACACTCAACCTGGAGCAGATGCTTTCTGGGACGCCACTTGACACCTCGATTGGAGTTTTGCAGGTTACCATCCATTCTGCGCGTGGAATCACTGGGGTCAAGTTGGGAGGTGGTAAACCGGATCCATTCATTGGTTTGAGCATCAATAATCGCGCAGAACTTGCTCACACAAAGTACAAGTCTGACACGTTTGTTTGTTTCTCCATCATATATTGGGTTGCGCTGACGCTGGGGCAGGTACAATCCTACATGGTCAGAGACGAAATTCTTGCTTGTCAATTCGCTCTCCGAGTCGTTGATCCTGAATCTCTGGGATTTCAACGACCACAGGAAGAATCAGTTGCTTGGCTCCGCTAGCTTTGAGATGTCCGTCCTGCAAGAAGATGCTACTCAGGAAGGCCAGGTTTCCCAGATTCTCAAAGACGGTAAACCAAGAGGAGAACTGCGCTACGACGTGTCCTTCTACCCAGTCCTAAAGCCAGAGACAGGAAAAGAGCTACCAGAGACCTGTAAGACTGTTACATTCCGCCTATATAGGTATTTACTTTTGAACAGCGGTCGGCATCGTTCGTCTCACAGTCCATCAAGCCAAAGACTTGGACAACTCCAAGTCCATGTCTGGAGACTTGAACCCTATTGCCAAAGTCTACCTTGGTGCCGATGCGACACCGATACACCAAACCAAGCTCTTCAAGCATACGAATAATCCCGTCTGGGAGTCAGCCCACGAGTTTATCTGCGCCGAGCGGGCCTCGTCTGTCATCACAGTCAAAATCATCGACGATCGTGACTTTTTAAAGGATCCTGTCGTCGGGTACATGTCTGTCAAACTGGACGACCTTCTGGCAGCCAAGGAGACGCAGCAGGACTGGTTCCCTCTGAGCAATTGCAAATCTGGCAAGCTCAGGGTCACTGCTGAATGGAAGCCTTTGAACATGGCTGGAAGCTTGCACGGTGCTGATCAATACAGTCCACCGATTGGAGCTGTCAGACTTTGGTTGGACAAGGCTACAGATGTCAAGAATGTTGAAGCGGCTCTTGGGGGCAAGGTACGTCAAGTGTCACAACTCTAAGCGATCAAGCTCAATTTGTCTTTAGAGTGATCCATATGTTAGAGTGCTAGTCAACAACTCTACGAAGGGCAGGACAGAAGTCGTGAACAACAGTATGGAATTGTCTCACTAGATTGCGACGTTGGCTGACCTTTGATTCTTCAGATTTGAACCCTGTATGGGACCAGATCCTCTATGTTCCAGGTTTGTATTTCAAGATGGCTTTTCATTATCGTGAGACTGACCTTTTACACTAGTTCATAACTTGAAAGAGAGTATCTTGCTGGAGTGTATGGATTATCAGCATCTTACGAAAGTAAGCAGTTATTCAGTTCTGGATTCATGATGGCCAACATTTGCCCTGCAGGATCGTTCACTTGGCTCTGTTGAACTCCATGTATCGGACCTGGCCTCTGCTTCAGACGAGAAGGATAAACCCTTCAAGTCGACTGGACTCAAGGAGGAATCTTCCCCGTTGCTTCTTGAGGATGGCGCCACCCATAAAGGCAAACTTCATTATCGAGCCGAATTCATTCCCGCTTTCAAACTCAAATGGCACAAATTCGACGCACCAACCAACGAGATGCAGCGAGCAGCCGAAAATGGAAACGACGAAGATGGTGGAACCGTTAGCAGTCAATCATCGGTCTCAGAGAAATTTGTTCCCCCAGGTCTCACTCGAAGTGCGGAGTCAGCGGATGGTCCCGCGGCGACTCCGGATCCTGCCGAGATGAATGGTACTGCTGTAAATGGAGTTTCAGAGAGCGCCACAAGTGTCGAAGACGAAGGCGCTGATCTTAGCGCTGCGGAGCTCTTAACCCATCGTGAGCACCAATTGAAGCTGTCTGTGAACCCGAAAAAACTTACTTTCAACAGAATCTGGTATCATCATCTTCAACATCATTTCTGGGTCCCTTCCGAAAAAGACACGATTGGAGGTATTGCTCGACGATGGATATTGGCCTTGCTTTGGTACGCCGAAGGCCCGAAGCACTCAGGCTCAATGGGAATACGTCGGCGAAGGCTTTTTGAAGGAACTTGATTTCGGTCAGGTTTGGCTCAGGTTAAACGAAGCAGAGGAAGGCGATAAGGAAGCTATCATTTCCGAGTGGAAAGGGGATGCTAAACCATTCCTCGAGGCTGCCCTAGTAAGTCGACATCGTTGGAAAAGGGACAAATCCTGATTCTTTTGTCAGACTGGACCCCAGACCTATACTTTGGCTGATCCTGACGGGCGCCACAGTCCTACAATCACACTCCAGGCCCGTTATGTTCCCGTCCCTGTCACCCTGGAAGCTCGCGAGAGTGTCAACAGTATGTATTTTCTTTTCCCTTGAATACAGGTCTAAATCGGATGTTTTAGACCAAGGGGTCCTTCGTGTTGATCTGTTGGACGGACATGGTATTGTCGCCGCTGATCGTGGTGGTAAGTTGGTGCTCACAGCGATGGTCACTTTTTTCAATGCTCTCTAGGCAAATCGGATCCATTCGCCGTCTTCTCGCTCAATGGCCAGAAGATATTCAAATCTCAGACAAAGAAGAAAACACTGAACCCAGAATGGAACGAAGACTTCACTACTCAAGTCGTACGTGCCGTTTCTGCTGCAAGAGAATCTTGAGCTGACTCTTTTCTTAGACGTCTCGCGTCGGTGCCAACTTCACAGTCGAGATCTTCGATTGGAATCAAATCGAACAGGCGAAGAGTCTTGGGGCCGCGACCATCGACCTTTCTGAACTAGAGCCATTCCATGCCGTAGAACGAGAATTTGCCCTAAGCTCGGCCAAGCATGGTGACCAGGGCCATGTCAGAGTTCGTCTCATGTTCCAGCCTGAGATCATCGCCAAGTCGCGGAAAAACACTTCGACATTCTCCACTGCCGGTCGCGCGATGACCCAGTTTGGAGGTTTACCTGTCACAGCCGGCAAAGGTGTTTTGCACGGGGTCACTGGAGTCTTCAAAAAGCAAAAAGACGAAGAGTTACCCATTCCTGCCAGTTCTGCTATCCCAAGCGGACAAGCATCTCATCCGATCGGACAGGTCAATAGCATGGTTGCCTCAGCATTTCCGCCGAGCCCTTCTGCAGAAGTTCCACCGTCTGGTCATCAAGAGCCTGGGACATTGCGTCTTACAGTCGTAGATGGAAAAGATTTGGGATCTTCAGACCTGAAACCATATGTGACAGTTCGTGTCGGTGACAAGGAGCAGAAAACGAAACATAGCGGCAAGACAGCTACCCCAGAATGGTCAGTTTTGGCTTTCTGATTCATTCGGAACCACATTAATATGTTTCCAGGAATGAAGGTTTCGTTTTTGTGGCTGGGCAATTTACCCCCAAGATTTATGTCTGGGTCCATGATCACAAAACGCTTGGAAAGGACAAACTTCTGGGCGAGGGCGAGGTGGACGTGAGTTTTTCTGTCCGTTTGAAATTGCAACAGGAACTGATTATGTTACAGATTTGGCGCCACATCAAGCCAGAAGGGGTATCTTCATCCGAAGTGCTGCTGGAACTCCGTGAAGGCCAGGGTCTCATCAAACTACGACTCGAATTCGATGCAAACAGCAATCCCATGCTTGGCTCGTCTTCAACGTCGTCCTCGAATGAAAAACTGGCGGCTCGAACGCTCTCTATTAGTTCCCCCTCTCGGTTCAGTCTTCGCGGACGGCGTCCCGGAGACAAAGAAGATGACGAGTAAATAACTCTCTTTTCTCTCAATTTCTTTTATTTACTGGACTTTTCTTTACATGGACTGAATAAATCTAGGGTAGACAATACATTAGTTTACGGAGCCCTTGATGTACGATAGTGATAACAGGGTTATAACATGGTTTTCATTTCACGATGCTTGTCGAGAGAAGCGCAGAATGAAGAGGTGCTCTCGACCTGCTCTCCGTTGTAAAACGATCTGGATGGATCGCGTTAACGAAACTCATGGTTTCCCCAATACGCACTTGACTTTCAAGTTTGTGAATCTCTAGCATTCGCTGCTGAATATCTGGGATGTTGTTTTGCTTGATGGCTACTAAATAGAATCGACCTTGGGGTGACAGCAGCTTCTGATTCTGAGATGAAGACGGCGCGAATTAGAGTGCAGATCACTGACCGGCACCATTTCGAGAAATATGTCTGTGACTTGCATTCCATCTGAGCCTCCTGCCCAAGATCCATGGATATGTCGCGAATCTTGGGCCTCGAGGGCTTCATTCGCAGTGGTGGGCACATATGGTGGGTTGAACAAGATAATATCAACAGAGTTCTGGAGACGTCTTAGCAGTGGAAGCGCTAATGAAGCGTTGATCGCATCGAGCTGGCCCTGTTTCGTGATTGAGAGTGGTTGGAATATTGAATTAGGCAGCGCACTTGCATGATTTTGAATTCCAGTCCTGGATGTTGCACGACAAGCCAGAGAATTTATGTCCGTACAGAGGTAAACTGGGAATTTCAGCGGGTGTCCAGAGGCCAAGAAGTCATGCACGTACGAGAGGAGGATGCACCCAGAACTGTACTGAGAAAGCTCGAGACACATCCAGAGCCAGACCTGTACTAGCTTAGAATGGATCTGAAGCGGCTGTAGAGACCAGTTGCCCTATTTCCAGACATATAGACGGACCTGAGGCTCGTAAAAGGTCTGCATCTGTTTCTAAAGCGTCAAGAAAGATGAATGTGTCCTCTAGAGCAAATGAGACGCGTTCGATGACGAGAAACAGGCTCACCGGCCGGTTCGTAGACATGTTCAAAGTCGGTCGATGAGAGATGCGATAAATCAGGTGTCGGAATCATGAACAAAGTGGAAGGTCGGGAATGATCAGGATTCGCGAACCATGCTCGTTGGCATCATGTCTTGAGTCGTTCACTCTTCGCCTTCCCATCGGCGCTATGGTGTAGAGGTTATCACTTCAGATTCTGACTATTCGTTACCTTCTGGAAACCCAGGTTCGAGTCCTGGTAGTGCCTATAGTTTCTTTTTACTTACCCCCCGACAGGTGTTAATTTTGTCAATGGTTTTCTCACAGTTCATTTTTTACTCTCATCACAGAGAGTATTAGAACTGGTTGTCGAGGCATGTCTTACTGGGTTATCAAATTATTGTTCAACCGGCGACCAATCAGAGATCTGGACTTCCCACGGAAAACCCTCTTGCTTTCCTCCTTTACAATGGCCACCTCAACGACTCCTTCTGCATCGGCAGCATATTCATGGAAAACCCAGACCAATGGGGCAGTGCAGACTTACACTCGGGACATCGACAAGGCCAACGAATCTATCCAAGCTGCCTACGATCAAGGAGAAACTGCATTCGGTTTCGATGTTGAATGGAAGCCCAGTTTTCGCAAAGGCGAGGCTGAGCATCCAGTGGCTCTGGTTCAACTGGCTACCAACAACCGAATTTTGCTCATACAAATTTCTGCCATGTCTGGTACGTTTTTTGCCCGTTAGTTTTCGTGAGACTGAAGTTAGCAACCATTCAGCGGTTCCAGAGAAGCTTGTGGCTTTGCTCACAGATCCCAACATAGTAAAAGCAGGGGTCGGGATCCAAGGCGACATCAAGAAGATTCATAAGGACCTCAATATCTGTACGCGCTCCTGTGTCGATCTATCTCTTCTTGCGCGCACTGTGGACAATGCTCGATGGAAGGGCCCTTACAAAAATCCCATTGGCCTCGCCAGACTTACTGAAGTTTATGAGAACAAAGCACTAGGCAAAGGATTAATCACCAGAAGCAATTGGGAGCTGGACCTATCGCCAGAGCAAATCGAGTGTGAGTCTTCTTTCTTCATTGCTCCAGGCGCCTTACAGTTCTGCTAGACGCGAGTAATGATGCCCATGCGGGGTTTGCCTTGTATACGAGGCTCAGCGCTCTGCTTTCGCCTGACAACCCAGGCCATAAGCGCAAATATTACTCCTTCGATTTAATCCGTGGTCGCCTCTATGAGCCCTCCTCGGGCGACTCTGCAGTTAAAGAGTGGCGTTGCCACAACCCAGAATATGACCCTGGTCCACCTCCTGAACCAAGACAGCGAACAGATGAACCTGGAATCCCGGCCGGTGCGACCAGTAAAGGAAAATGGCCACTGAATTCTTCGACCTCGGGTTCTGGTCCGAATGATACAGCACTATCTAGCTCTCGCTCTCAAAATAGACATCATCGTCCTGCCAGACGCTATCGCCCGAATCCCGACCAGCGCGGCCCAGCTCAGCCACAGACAGATCCCAACTTTAACAACAATCTTTCACGCTCCTTTTCTGGGGCATCGGATCCTGCTTTCGGTACTTCCTCTGCAGATAGAAATGAGACAGGCAGACACAGAGGTAGCCAAAGGACCGGAAGGGGACGTCATGATAAACGAGCGGCCAAGAGAATGGCAGATCAAATTTAGGCTGTGTGAGAGGACGTTTTTTATCTGTCTTGAATAAACATATCTGAAACTTCGCCGTAACAGCCTTACCCATGGATTCCCCTACTGACATGTCTAAAAAGCCCTCGGGACCGTCATTTTTCCAGTTATGTGTCCCGGCATGTCGGCTGTTATAATCGTGCCTGTTTTCCTTGGGCTTGGCAAACTAAAAATATGGCCTCTATAAATAATCTCCAAGCCTTTTGACTTTAAAAGCAGCTCACCAGAATCGGACAACGGTCTTGGCGAACCCATCCTTCCGTCACCATGTCCGCCTCTCAAAGCCAGCTTCGTGCCACTATCGCTTTATTGAACGAGGTTTGTCTGGTTATGTTTCAAAGACACCGCGACTAAATTCTGTTAGACGCCTCCACCTAGTCTCCGTGAAATCCTTCAGGCTTACAGAACCAAGGGAGACGGCGACCGAGAGGTTAGTCGATTTTGATATTCATCTCCCAAGCTAACAGCTTCCAGCTGCTTCTGGCCCTTTTGAAACTGCAGACTTCCGAAAATGAAGTAAGCCTTCATTCAACTTACGTCTTTGACCTTGAATTGAGCTTGTTCTAGCGCCTCGGCAATGTCGCAGCATTACATCGCTCTGTTCTCGAGCTCTCTCAGCTTGACGGCGCGCAATCGTTATCCAGTCCAGGACCGTCGATGATTCCTGGTCATTATCATAGTTCTGGGTTTTCTGAAAACTCTCGACGACATTCGCCACCTCATCCTTATCATCGAAGCGCTTCTCATCATAGAAGCTCTCACCTGGAACCACCGCCAAAAAGGCATCGGTCATCTCAGTCTCCTGGTTCATTCCATGTCGAACGACCACAAGACATTGACGCAAGCCATGGCTCGCAAAATATTCCACTATCACCTTATTCCACTCAATCCTCTAATGGACCTAGTTCACCTCGTTCAACACATCGCGGCAGCATGGCTATCGGAAGTTTGCTGCGGTTGGAAGACGGAAATGAAGGGCATGATCTTAAAGTAAATGGGCACCATCGAGACGTCAATCGCGATACAGTGTCGAGAATTCTGCAAGACCGTATCAAACGGGAGACGTCTCACAGCCCACCAGTTCAACAGCGTTCGCCTGCCAATTCATCATGACCCGAGTTTTATCTTATTTAATGCATGTACTATGTTTTTTTCCCAAACCTCGATGGCTTCGTGGCACTGTCAACCCAATGCTGTCTAATATCAGATGAAGAGCTATAGATAGGCAGATATTTTAATTTGAACCCAGCTGTCTGGTATGTATCAGCCAAGTATCTCCAAGCATGCTGGGCTACCGAGCCGAGCGATCCTGAGAGAATCAGGTGTGCTGCCAAGGTTTGCCTGCTTTCTCCGGGAGATTGGGCGAGTGTTTTTTATATATATCAAAGTTGTATATCTATTTCTATCTACGATTCTGCTGCGCTGTACTGCCAAGGACTGGTCCAAATGAATAGACAGATCAATGATCCGGGGTGTCCACAGCTACAGGCATCTACAGGCATGGGCGCGAAATAGAAACGCTCCACGCTACTCCACGTCGACGATAATTATAGAGACAATTTCAGACCTTTTTATATCTCTTTGACTTGGCAATTTGTGAGCATCGTGGGAAATATGAACGCGTCATCAGATTCATTCAGCTTACGCGTTCGCGTCGACTTCAGCTTTCACCGTCATGGTAGGCATTTCTGTATTCAGACGAGCTTTCTCTGAATTATCGGACAGCTTATCAGAGTCAGAACAAAGGATGGCAATTTTCGCTTTGACTTGCCTCCAAGCGCCACCGTTGGAGAACTTTTCGAAAAGGTGCGACCTGGAAGCTTTGACGGAGGCAGATGCTCATTTTGTCCAGATTCTACCAACGACGACCGATGCTGATCTTTCTACCTTCACGATTTCGAATCAACCTCGGGGTAACGAGTCCAAATTGTCCATTCTCAAAGGGAGAACTTTGCAGGATATTGGCGTCAGGTGAGTCACCACCGTCTTTCCAGGTCCCTCCGAGTTCAATCCAACTTGTTTTCTAGCCATGCAGACCTGCTATTTGTGAACTATAAATCCATCGAGCCGGTCGCTGGCCAATCTTCGACTCCTTCGGTCGAGCCTAGCAGCTCCACTGAATCGAGCCATAGGCCATGGGAATCAGTGGTTGAAGATAAAGTAGATGCATTTTGGCGCGCAACGGATGGGAAAATTCCTCGACAACGCGATACACAATTTTGCAAACATGGTCCTAAAGGCATGTGCGACTACTGCATGCCACTTGAACCGTACGACGCGGCATATCACAAGGAAAACTCTATTAAACACCTCTCATATCACGCATATCTTCAGAAAGTCTCTCCAAAGACATCGTCAAAATCGGCCATTTCTGACATTCCGCCCTTGAACTCACTTTCCTACAAGGTCAAAACCCCTTGTCCCACCGGTGCTCATCCTCCATGGCCTGCTGGAATTTGCACTTCCTGCCAACCTTCAGCCATTACTCTTCAGTCTCAGCCATTCCGAATGGTTGATCATCTCGAGATTGCCTCGACGGACATTATCGATCGATTTCTGCAAGCCTGGCGTAATACCGGTTTACAGCGCTTTGGTTGGCTGATTGGTCGGTATGAACCTTATGACAAGGTTCCGATGGGTATCAAAGCAGTGGTGGAAGCGATTTACGAGCCTCCACAGCAAGGCGAAGTCGATGGGCTTGCTTTAGGTCTACCTTGGGAGGATGAGCCCTATATTCGCGAGTTGTCCGCTTCATCATCAATTCCACTGACAGTTGTCGGTTGCATTTTCACCGATTTGGATCCAACTCCAGAAGATCGCACAAAGAATGTTTACAAGCGGCATCCTGGGTCCTTCTTCCTCTCGTCTTTGGAAGCCATATTTGCTGCTACAATGCAGAATGCTAATCCCACACCTTCAAAGTCTTCACCGACTGGACATTTTTCTTCGCGGATGGTGACTGCCATCTTGACGGCAACAGAAGATGGACAGGTCGATGTTTCTGCATATCAACTGTCTGAACAGGCTTGCGCAATGGTCGACGCCGACATGATCGAAGCCAGCGTTGATCCGGGTATAGTACGGGTCAAGGAAGAGGACAGGTCGCAAGATTCAGCGAGATATGTCCCAGATGTGTTTTTCTCATACAAAAACGAATACGGTCTGGAGGTCAAGAAGAGCGCGAAACCAGCCTTTCCCGTTGAATATCTTCTACTGAATGTATGTCACAGTCTTTTCTGGTTTTATCCTTCTCATTGATCAACAGGTCACGCATGGATTTCCCCAGAATGCTTCGCCTCTCTTCCGCTCTACCCAGTTCAAAATCGAGAATCGACCAGGCTTGGAAGATCAGACAGTGGAGCAGGTCATGTCAAAACTGGCGGAGCTGGATGCTCCCAACATTCCTCACAGTAGTTTGGCGAAACCTGGAGAAGCTCAGAAGCGATTCGATTTGGTGGAATGGTTGAGCGATTGGCATCTTGCAATCTTTTTGGGAACAACACAGCTCTTTTCAAGAGTGAGTGACCATTTATGAAAACGAGCTACGAGATTAAACT